CCGGGGCTTAGCTTACAGGTTGAATTCACGGAACAGCAGGTCTTCGTGACTATGGAGTCCGTCTCATTTGTTGTTCATGGTGAAAAGGTACAAAAAAACGGGATGCATTTTCTAGGTCATAGCGGAGTACCCAGGAATAAAATACTTGTGGCGAAAGCGTGACATTTCGGTGAACTTGAAAAGTCGCGAATAATGCGTCAGTGTGATCAGTTCCGTTTTACGGTTGTGAGATCTTGAATTTGACGGAAAAAAATCCATCGCCCAGTGGTTTTCGACAATCGATTCTTACTTAGGCTTACCCTGGTGGGATGGAGTGAGCGGTTTAATAATTTGGATGTATGCCATCGGGTGTTAGGTAATGGATCAAGAACTTGCTATCACATCGAATTCAGCTCAATAGGCTCTGCTGATTAGGAAACGTTCTGCGTATATCTAACGGACGTACCGCGCCTTATTTGCGGTGGTCGTTCCAAACTGGAGAAAAAACACGTGGAGTTCAACAGATGAGATGGAGAAGCACACAAAGCGATTAAGTAGAGTCAATGTCTCTTGTGGTAATCTTATCGGGCTCAATTTGAGCCCGCGTCCAAATTTGAAATAGCTCCCAAAGTTGAGTTGTTGGCTCAGTGGGACACTACAGGTTAAGGCAAAGAACCAATAGAAGCGGCGCTCTCAATGTCAGTTCTTATCAGACCAGAATACGTACGCCGAGTCGGGTTGTGCTCTCCGTGTGTTGCCCATCGGGATTCGTTTAATTTTCCCGTCACAAGAATAGGTCCAATCCCTATCCAACTTACTCATTCTCACTTAGCTCGTATACATTATGGGCTTGGTAGCGAGTAGTGAAGTTCGCTTCATTGTATTCCATTGTAAAACGGTGCAAAGACGTCCGCTGACTTGGGGATTTTGGTCATCTGCGTATGTGCAGTTTTACAAGTGTGGCGGAGTGAGCGGGCTGACAATACCGGGCCGGGGGGATAAGTGCGATGGAGTGATTAGGCGAAAGATAAATACCTAAATGAATTTGAATGACTGGAATTTGTGGATGTGTATGTATATCGACCCAGTCGCAGAAGAAGTGACAATTTGCACGTTGGTTCACTCTCTTCTTTCTCCTCGATCAGGTTGCCCCCCCCCCCAAATGCACCTTGTATGCTTGACTTGACTTTGTGCATACTTTTGAAGGGTTTTGCAGCGAGTTTCATTGTGCAACTTTGGTGGTCATTAGATATATACCTTTTTTGCCACTTGTTACTCCTTCCAGCTAACGCAAGAAGAGTGTGACGCACGAAAAACATTACTTCGACGTAAAGAAAAATTCGTCATTCCGACCGTGTACGATCTGATACGGACAGCAGATGCAAACAAATTTCTCTCGCTCGAGCTGAAAAAGGCAGAGAGAAAATTAAACTTGGCCAAGGTAAACTAAAATCCTATTCATATAATCACTATTCTTTAATTTCCGCGGATGCTGTTTCAAGTTATCATCTCGCTTGTGCATGCGTCTATCTAGTTTTAGAAGAAATCCTTTGACAGTTTTATGCTACTTCACTTAAAAAATCGGTTAATTCAGCGGTGTTAGTGGCTCGGTGAGGAGGATGTGTTCCAATCCCTTCACCATCACCTGACTTGCTCATTNCATTTGCGTTTTGCATGGCAACCCTTTGATTGGCCGCTTCCCCCTTCTTGAAAATTGCATCGTTATTTATTCCGCAAAAGGAAATAAAAATGAAAAGAATTCAATACCGATTAATTGTATGGTTCCTCATGCTCATTTATATCACATTCTATCTGATAACTATCCACGACTAGATATTTGCGTGAGATAATTAACGTGTTCACTCTGGGATAGTGATTCCCCAGATATCATGCCAACATTCATTCAACCATACACATGGGGCACGAAACTCGTGTTTAGTTATTGTGGATCATCCAGGGTTTCAACCCCGGAATAAACGAATAAAAAAAACACACGAAGGGACTGAGATCAGCAAGTTCACACGTTATCTTCACTAATAATCAGCTGTTTACCCGGAAGCTTCGAAGAGGGAAACTACTTGTCCTGATAACTCCAACAGAAAACTGAATGTTTGCGTCACAGTCTCTAACGACAATACCACTCGGATTTCATGCCTCCTTAACGAATAAACTGAGTGAAGACGAAGTTTTTCTTTGAAGGCTAATCAATCTTTGTCAAAAGTGTGCTCACCTAGTTCGCAATAAACTGTATCANACTGTATCAAACCGACTTTGATTTTTCGTTTGCTTAGTTTGAAAATGGACAATATGAAACTCTTTGGCGTCGGAAATACAGAGGAGCCGCAATGGGACATTCGCTTGTTCCAAACCCCCAATATCTCTGCCCTACTCCTGCCGAAGAAGGAGAGCGTGAGGACGGGAACTGATCACACAGAGACAGTGGTTCAGAAACAAGCAAATAATCAATCGATACCAGCTGTACAGATAACGGGACAAATGGAACTGTACTGGGAGTTATCTATAGTAACATTGATTATTGCCGTCAACTTCCTTTATTGAGTTGAGCATTTCCTTTCGTGAATTTACTTGCGTTGACATTCCGAGAAACGCCTCTGTACAATAGGGCATCCCGTGTTGCAAACGGTGCCATGCTCACAACTTGCCCATTACATTTACAGAATGTATCTTTACATATGATACTACCAGGAAGTGAATATGATGAACTATTCAAAAGGTTTATTGTTTTTCGTTTTTTGAGCAAAGAGATGGTTCAAAGGGAATGACTATAAAAAATGCGTCGAAGTTATTTGTTGACCATAAGAGGACGGAAATTATGACCAGAGTGACAGTTCAAGGCAAAGGGCAATATAATACGAACCGGAGATCTTGTCAGAACGAAAGAAAGAAGACGGGAAAATGCAATTGTTCATGGCAATAAGGCTACAAAAAAAAGAAAACAATAGAAAAAGGTGAATGAGTTTTGTGTGTCATGGTGAAGGGCGACGATCAATTGTGGGGAGACCGAAATCCAACCATGTAAGATGTCCAACGATTGGCCGTCGTCAGCCATTTTTCAGCTCGTTCCGAATTGTCCACCACGGCGAGAATGCGTAACTGTCGAATATGGACCGCATGGTAATCCCATCGAGCTCGATTTGGGCCCGCGTCCAAATTGGAAATGGGTCCAAAAGCGGGTGTGTTGGCTGAGTGTGACACTACAGGCTGATCGCGTGTAGGCTGCATCACATGCCGCAAGTCGTAAAAACTTCCTCCGCCTGAGTCGAAAAGCGGCAGTAGCGAGGATAATGTAGTTAGACCGGACTCGAGAAGTACAGCAGCATTGGATTTAGGGACAGATTTCATCTGCGATTCAACCTATGATGCGAGGGCAGAAATATCTCCGATGTATATAAGAAAAACCCATAAAAGCGGAGTGCTTAAATGTGAGACATCATTAAATAAAGACAAACTGGCTTCATTTTTTTAAGCACACCATGACGTGATGAACTACAGAATAGGTCAAGAGGACCGATTTTTAACTCATGTTAACCGACAACTTGGTCTGGGACTTGAAGTGGTGAACCACATAAGGCCGCTGTAGGATAAGCGTGATATAGAGCCGTACAGCAGCGATACCGAAATACTACCGTAGAAATGAAAACACTAGGCGACTTGGTTCCCCAAATCTCTTTGACATGACCGTTAGAAACAGTCGGTTCATCATTTTCAGAACATGAGATATGAAAGACGTTATCAGATCGGGAAGAAAGCAGGCTTTAGACAAGAGCAGACAAATCGAGCTTAATTCTGTATCCCGACTTCTGATGATGTCATAACAGCAATTTTTCATAAACATTAATCGGGGCTGGATGAAAGAAGTGTCAGTAGTGCTTTTGATGCAAAAATAATTTCCAAAGGAGTATCCCTTTTATATCTAATAAATCAGTGGAAACAGAGGAGTAGCCAAGGAAACACACAAAATACTGCGATAAAGGGGTTCGGGGGGAGAAAAGAGGACGTTACCGAAATTTAAGTGTCACAAATTTATCTGACCAGGATAGTACTTGAATTCCCCAGGTTTGCACTCAGTGAATTATCAACATATTCGGTACAAAATCAATTTGAAGAACTTGTCAATTATGCACAAAGAGCGAGATAAACAGAAATTCATAAAATTCAAGCGCATACGGTTCGTATTAGAATATTCACGCTCTATAAAGGGAATGGTGAAAAGTCGTCTGTTGTGTCGAAAAATCGGACTCCAGTCACACTCGGATTAAATATCAATGAGAACGAGCAAAGAATCAGCGGGAGGGGGGATCCGACCTCAAGGGAATACGTTGGCGCATTCCACAAGTCAAGTTAGGCTTTACGCACCCTTCGTACGTATCTACCACAAATTCCCAAACCCTTTTGAAGAGGTGCGTATTTCACACACAAGTCTGAGTTCAAACTGTGCCAAGCAAATCACAGGAAAATGATCTTTAAAAGGAAGAGGTGAACACAGATAAGTTGGCCACTCATGTTATCTTCAATCGCCTCTACTGGTTTTACTGTGCTCGCGGTCGTAAGTATTTTGAGTGAACAGAGAGTGAGAGAGAGGAGACAAACTAGTTAAATTGACGAAACAAAAACATGTGATGGTAACAGAAAGTCAACATACAGTTTAAATCCCCAGCATCTACCCAATACCTTCAAGGTTACTGGTAAACGAAAAAATCTGGAGTCATTTAAGTTTACGAGGTATCGGAGATTCGAAAAATAAGGGCCAAGCCAGTGCACGCAAACCCCTCTTTGCGGTTCATCTTATCCTCCTACGATGAAGCTAACACTGCATGAACTTCTCCATCGTACTGAAGGCGCAGCGGTTTAGTCTCTATCACCGGTGTGCTTTGGTCCGAGGTTCCAACCCCGTCACCGCCACCCAACTTTGGTGGTAGGCAGCTTTGTTGTCGTCCGGTTCAATATCACGTATATCCTAGCGGGACCTTGTGTGGTTCGCCACTCCAGGTTGTCGGCTAAAATCACTGAACAGCAGGGGTCTGCCCCGTCTGCTGTTCATCACACAATGGTGTAGGATAAAAACATTTTGTGATTATGCTGATTCACTGATGGGCCAGTTGGTGATTATTTTGTATTTAATGCAGCTGCGTTTACTGTTAAGTTCAACATTCAGTCCCGGTGCAATTGACAATCAGGATCAGCAGCACTGCACCGGTCCACTACGTTGTACGGCGCTTCTGAGCCATAAAACCAAGACAGAGAGACGCCGACAGCAATTCTCTCTAACCAGCGAAGCCGACTAATCTGAATTC